AAGAGCCCACGTGCCGCAACTAAGACCCAATGCAGCCAAAAAAATTAGAAAAATAAAAACAAATAAAAACCAAATAAATATTAAAAAAAAGAAATGGAGAAAAATTAACTGGCTGTATCATCGCCGCTGGAATATTCTCAGAGCTAATTATGGAGGCTGATCTCTAGTTCCTTTTTTTTTGTCTTGGCCATGCCACACGGTACGCCTGTGGGATTTTAGTTCCCCGAACAGGGATTGAACCTGTTCCCCCTGCAGTAGAAGTGCAGAGTCTTAACCACTAGACTGCCAGGGAAGTCCCTGATGCATAGTTTTTAATTGAAGAAGTTTTTTTTCCTTCTTGGCCTATCTTTTAGCACATCAATCAGAGTCATATATTTTAAGCGGCACTTGGATCAACAGTCCTATTCTTGGCACTGAAGAGAGGCTCAGAAGTTAAATGAAATAACACATGTGGAGGAAATGCCCAGACTTTAGTGAGTGCTTGCTCCCTGGGATATTTTCTGCAATTTAAAATATCAATAGTTGAGCATGGACTGTGTGATATATGCAGGTTTCAGTCTCTGTTTACGCTGCAGCACATTGGAGGGGTTGGTTGACATCATAGACAGTGGAGCCCAAGTGCCTACTAGGTTAGAATTCCAGCTCTACCACACTTTCCCTGGGTAACTTGGCGAAGGAACTTAACCTTCTGGTGCCTCAGGCTTGCCATGGGGGTAATAATAGTCCCTAATCATGGGATCGTTATGAGGCTTAAATGGGTTGGTATTTGTAAAGAGGTTAGCACAATGCTGAGCGTATAGTAAGTGCCTGATGAGTGTTTATTTAAAAATACAATTTGAGGCACCCTAATGGGGAGTTCACCCTCCAGATATGGTAATTAACATTTGGAAGATGAATCAGAGGCTCACCCCGGAGGAAGTTACCCTTAGACATCAGCTATCTTTAACTCACCATAGAAGCTATTAATTATCATGATGGATGTTAGATATGATTTTTCATTGGCGAAATGACAAGCTGTGTGGAGTACAGGTACTCCTACCCTGGCATTAATGGAGAAGCAGCCTGGAGCAAGCCCGACAGCCACCCCAAACTGGATATTTAGGATTCTGAACAACTTAGGATTGTTCATAACAATTTAGGATTGCTATTTAGGATTCTGAACAATCCTGTGTGTGTACGAGCACTTAGATTTAATTGCCTGACTCTGACTAGAATGGTCACTGAATCCTGTCTTCCAAGACTGTCTCATTTCTCTGAATGCAATCTTTCTTGCAAGGTGTTCTTTGGGTTCCTAAAAGCACAGACTGCAGAGACCTGATTGAGAAGACAGATCAGCTTACATAACCGCGTTTTTTGTCTGCTTGTTAATCCATGTGTCTCTCCAGGAACGGATTCAGTCTGTGACTTATTTTCTTTTTGATATTCCCTGTTTGCATCACCAAGAGGGTGAAGATCTGTAGTTCCGACCTGAGTTTAACTTTGGGAGGCCACTGCCAAAAATAACCAAATATGATGAATTACCAAATGGGCTTAGGTCTGTGTTTTCAACAGGCTCCATAAAAATGCCAGCAAGAATGTAATATTTGTATCTCTCAAGGAGTTGACGATCCAAACGTGGTAACAAGACAAATACAGAGTTAAAAGGCAAAGGAAGACCTAAAAAGATAACTTCTTCCAGCATCCATTTAACAATATTTGTTGAGCATATTGTGTGTACCGTGGACTGTGCTGAGGTCTATGAGAAGCATAAGGATGAAATCAGTCAGGATTCTGAGATGAAAAGAGCTAATCTTGAGATTTATTTAAAACAAGTGCAAAGTAACTCAGTTTATAAGCGCTCAAGGGCTTACCTATGGCTAGCAGTAAGTCTTCAAAACACCCAGACAATTCTCCTTTTATGCTGTCCTCAATGTCCTTCTGGCTTATATTTCTGTATTCATCAAATGCTAAAAAAAAAAACAAAAAAAACAGCACCACAAAAATATTTAAAGTATCCCAGTTGACCACACTTGAAAATATTGTGGTTTTTGATTTGATACGCAGCAAATCAGGTCATTAAGTGGCAAGCTCAAAAACTCCTTTAAAACATCAAAAACTCGGCACAGAAGTTTCTGTTTTTTTATTACTTTAAAAAAATGTCATCTACAATAAAAACTGAACTTCATAGGCCATTTTCTTCAGTGATCAATCTCTCTCTCTCTCCTCTCTCCCCTCCACATTCCCAGGCTGTAAGCATTTAAAATAGCCTGAAAGGTTAAAAGATAAATAATTTATCTAATAAGGTGGGGTACTTTTAAATTACAGCACCTGGAAAACAGTAATGTGGTCATGAGTCAAATATGTTTTAAATCTGCTAAAGAAATCTTAATTATGAAGATTTCTTTGTGCTGAGTAAATCATTCCCTAAGGCAGCATAGCCTACTTCATACTTACTAGAAGGCATTCAAAGTATTTGATCAACATTTGCCCAAAAGCAAAACCTGTACATACGTCACCGAGCATGTAGGCATACTTCGTAAGCCAAGTATAGTTTTTCCAAGTGAATTTCAAAAAAAGAAAATTTGGAGAGAGATCTAGGATTGTTTGGTTTTTATTTTTCAAATAAAGACATCAATAAAGCAACTATAATATACTACTGCCATTATTTTATAAAGAGGATGAAATGTTAATGCCCAAGTTTCCTCATTTTCCCATGAACTCGGCATAAGCGTAGTCATCACTGTGGTTGTTCTCTAGACCAGCACTGGGGAGCCACAGTCAGATGTCCCTAGTAAGTGGAGATCGGGGCTTCTGGGTGCCGTTGCTTCCAGAATGACTCAGAGAGATGCATGAGTGAAGGGGTGGGTGCTTAGCTGTTCCATGTAATAGTTGGTCTGATAAAAAGAGTTCCCCCTCACCCATTTACCTTCATATCAGAAAAAGCTGAATGTTAATCTGCATTAATGCATTAACAAAGACTCACCCGCAATGCCTAGTTTTCCTGGAAAGTGGCTAACTAGGCAAGAGATGGGCTGGAAGCAGTGCCGTCATGCTCCTCCATCCCACGGGAACACGCCTCTCTGCTCTCACCCCAGAGAGCTGCTCCCCTCTTCTCCCTGCCGTCCCTCCCACCTCCACCCCCCAGGTTGTTTCCTGAAATGTTTGTACATAAAAATGGGACAGCCTTCACGATTTTTCACTTCGTTTTCCAGAACTATGTACGTTAAACCTTGAAATATTTGCCAGAACGATACAGTGCAAAAAAAAGGATTCTAATGCGAGTCCATACTCAGTTTCAGTTGAGGAAAGCTCCTTAAACAGAGGATCTCAGTGAACGTATCTTCATCCGTGCCCCATCTGTTCTCACCTGCATTATAGAGAATCTGTTGGACAAGGGAGAAGACGTAAATGTTATTACAGACCCGATTCTGTCTCTTTCTGAGGAGGTGGAATGAGAAGAGGGGCAAGTTTATTTTGCAGGTCATGGAGATCATCGATAATCCGTGGGCTCTCACTTTTAGTGGACTGGAAATCTGACAGTTGTGGGGCAGTAGCCAGGGGAATAATAACCACCACTGGGGAAGGCAGAAAGCTGGGGCTAGGGGATCCCCAGGTGTCAGGCCTCTCCTCCAGACAGGACAGGAGACAGCATGACCCCGGCTGGTGCCGTAGAAGTGAGAACGCAGTCAGGCGGGAGAATCGTTAAAGGAGATGTTTTCTTTGCTCTGTTACCGACCTGGGCATCCTCTTTGGCCAGCTGCTCATCCACTTTCAGACCCTCATCTCTTCTGCCCTAGAGAGGGAAGATAAAAGTGAGGGCAATCCCTTTAAAACTAAAAATTCCAACCATTCGGC